ATTTTAGTTGAATAAGTGGAGTTAGATGGTCTGCAAGTAGAGCATTTTTAGTAGTTTGGATCAGGTGTCCTTCAGCACAGTAACTGGTTTCAGCTTGATGAGTCCTGGTACATTCAGGTATTCATGACTTGGATGTGTGGAGAGAGGAGAAATGAAGAGGTAGTGTAACCAGTAACACAATTATGAATGATCAAACTGCCCAAATGTAAATCAAAGAAATATTATATGAGATATGTTAGAAATTAGCCCAGTCCCTGGTTGCCAGTAATATACACACCTGGGGACAAGCCTTGCACTTGTTACAAGAAGATATTGTAGATAAAATACGAAAACTTAACTGTCCAGAGCAGCTTCAAGGTTTAAGTAAATTGAATATTTTTAAAAAATCAGGAGACCCACTGTGATTTACGTCAACAGAGGAGCAGGTAGATTTGAAAGTCCTGTGTGACGATTGGATTGAAATTTTATGGTTCCCTTGGAAAAGGGCCTGTGAGCAGTTTTTCTGAAGATGAGATTGTTGACACTTGCCCTTCCTATGCTTTTGAAAAATAGACAAACAAAATTACAAAACACAGGATTGCTTTTCGAAAAAAAAATTGAAATGTGCTAGCCAGCGACACCCACATCATGTGAATGAATAAAAATAAAGTTCTTCAGAAACATAATTCATATTTATTCGTGAACGACGTCTTATTAGAACTTGACTTCTTTGCTTTGGAATGTATTGTTCATATTTGGACAAGCAGTTCCTATCTGAGTGCAGAGTTTTTTTTTCCATGGAGTAGATTATGGAATTGTTGACAGTAGTAAATGAAATTTGGGATAATGGATTTGCTGAAGTTTATGGAGCATTACGCAGTGGATTTGTAGAAGAAAATTGCTCTGCTTATCTTATCATCTGGCAAGGAATTGGGCTGCTGTTGCCTGGTGCTTTGTGGATTTCATGCTGCATCTGACCAACTAAAACCAAATTTAGATTTGCTTTTACTTTAACATAAATTTAGTTTTGACTCTATTTTGCAAATATTATCCTCTCATCTTACTTAGTTGTAGTTGATTCTCACCGACAGCTGGTTCATTTTGTTGTCATTAAGTGGGTTAGATAAACCCAAATTTCAATAAAGTTCCATACTGAAGGTAACATAAACGATGCACCATGGTCTTTCTAAAGTGAGGAGTATGCCTCTGCAGTTAGTTTATATTTATTGGACAGGCATGTTACAGCTATTCCCTTTTGCATTGCCAGCCCACAGATTTCCCTCTTTCACTTTTCAGGGTGGAGAACTGCATCCTGGTGTATACAGAACATTGAAATCTCACTCTCAATGATCAGAAGTTATTCAACCATTGCAGGCCTCAGACCTGAGTTCAATTTTCACTAAATATATTCCTTCTTTTATTCATGGGATGCAGGTAAGGCTTGCATTCATTGTCTATCACTAATTGAACTTGTGAAGATGGTGATGCGTGGCATGGTGGCTCAGTGGTGAACACTGCTGCCTCCCAGTGCCAGGGACCCAAGTTCGATTCCAGCTTTAGGTGGCTGCCTAAGAGGAGTTTGCATATTCTTCCTTTGTCTGCATAGGTTCCTTCCCACAGTCCAAATGTATGCAGGTTATGTGGATTGGCCATGCTAAAATTGCCCATAGTGTAGATAAGGTGGATTAGCCATGGGAAATGCAGAGCTAGAGGGATAGGGTGGGGCTTGGTGGAATGCTCTTCAGAGAGGTGGCGTAGACTAGATGGGCTGAATGGCTTTCTTCCACACTGTAGGGATTCGATGATTCACCACAGCCCACATTATTACTCACTGATGTTAGGGAGACACTTTGAGCCAAAGTTAGCAGAGGAATGGCCAAAAATTCTATTTGAGGACCTTATCACTTTGTGTGAGCCCATTGTAAAGTCCTGTGAGAGGAATGGCCCAATCTGTAAGGATGATACAAGATGTGGAGGGGAACTTGCAAATGATGGTGCTCCCTTGCCTCTGTCACTCATGTCCATCAAGATTGCAGAGATCACAGGTTTGGGAGATGAGGTTGAAGCAGCTCACTAACTGGAAGACGTTGCTACATCCTGAGTAGGAACATGAACTCCAAATTTCCTCTATCTTGAGTATCATTTTCCAATAGTAGTGCCTGTGCCTGAGCCTTGGCTATCTCAACATATATCAGGGATTAGAAGCTGTTCTTGTTTCTTGCATTTCAAGGAGGGTGAAATGATTTTCTTGTCAAGAACTTCTCCCAGAAGCTTAAGCAGGATAGAAGTTTGAAAGAATGGATTGTAGATAAAAGCCTAACTAGGGGACTGGAGACTTGACCTGGTTCTGCAAATGTTGAGAACGTTGGTACAGATGGAAGCAATCTACTTGACATGGACCTTAAGCCTAAGACTAGAGGAGATGGATATGATGTTAATAAGTTGGAGATGGACAAGAAATGGAAAATGTCTCCCTTTCTCCCTCTCAATTGCTGATTATCTGCCAATGTTATAACAGTCAATCAGGATGTATAGATCAATCTATGAATGTTTTCTTGTCATTTGATTCTGTTATATCCTTAAACAACTCCAAAAGGCTTGCCAAGATATTTTTGCCAGTAAAATACCCATATTAGCCACTTTACAGGGGCAGTGATAGTCGGGGGTCTGAAAACGTACAATAAATTTAAAAGCTAACTGAAATTTCTGACACATACTTGAAAATACTTTGCAATTAATATCACACACTGAGTGCCACAGAAATAAGAGGATAAATATTCGGGTCACTCAGTATCTGGACTGCTCAATGATCCATGATTATAGTAAATCTTACTATTTAAAAAAAACTTGTTAAGCATTTCCTTATGTGTTCTTTGCTTAAGTAGCAATTGTTGTGCCAAACTGTAATTTAATTCATTCTTCTCAATCAGTAAACGTTCTACTTTAACACACTTAGTTGCTGATGGTTTGATATTTTATGAAATGTAGGAATCCTGAACTTTGTCTCCAAGTAAACATTTCATACACTTTTTCCGGAGACAAAATGAATAATAATTTTGCAAGTTTCCATGAGCAAATGTGTGAAATGCATGGATTCCGAAAAATAGTAGAGGTTGGACCAATGTGTTCAACCTAAAACGTGGCAGGAAAGAGATACTCTGCAAAAGATTTCTTTCTTGCGTAACTTCACTGATCCCATTACTCACACACATATAAATCAATGGTGTTAGTTCCAGTGATCGGTTGATTCTTATCACTTGGTAAACTTACCGTGATTGCATCACAGATGTTAATCCTGTGTAGCAAATAGTGAAGCAATGTAATGGAAAGTCATAACTGGAAACTGATGACATACTACAAGCTGAAAATGCGGCCACAAAAAGTCCAAAAAATGAAGTAAAACTGTTTTAGGAAATGCTGCAGTTTATTTGGGAAATCTGAACAATCTCATTCCAGAATGCAGATGGATGCGAACTATCCAAGATTTTGTCTAATGACTTCCAATCACCTCTGAATCCTGAGATGAATTTACTAATTTATAATCGCTCCCAGTTTGTTTATCTATCTGTAGCATATTTTAAAATGGCAAACTCAAAACTCTTGTCAACTGAAATCTGAATATTAAGGAAGTTATAGGAACCAAATTGCCAGATTTCAAGTAAGCAACATTACAAGGAAAGTCTACCAGTCAGCCTCAATGACAAGTCAAGTTGTTTGTTCTCATTTCTAATGTTTATTGTCCAGGATATTGTGTGAGAAAAAGGAGACGAGCTTCAGTACGTGCTGAGGATTGTAAGAGTTAACACTTATAGAGATTCAATGACAGTACATTTCCATCCTCTGTAGTCAACAAATGATTACTGGAAGTGGCAGGGAGGTATGATGTCTCTATGTGAAATTTGCACATATAGGCCCAAGGGAAAACAGTGAACCTAACATTTTGGAAGTATGGTCAATAATTACCGTAAATACCTAAACTCAGAGTAAAGACATGGAATGTTATACAGTAATATAGAACATTCAGCCATTTGTGTCTAAGCCACCTGTTTAAAAACTCTCCATTTAGTCCATTCCGTTTTTTTTCCCCATAGGTCTAAAATTGTATCATTTTCAAGTAGAAATCCCTTTTGAGAGTTACTATTGAACCTGGTTTTACTGCTCTTTCAGGCAGCGCATTCCAGATCATAATAATTTGTTGCGTAACAATTTCCCCCCTCATGTTGTCTCTCGTTCTCCAGCCAATTATCTTAACTCTGTCTTTGTCAGCTTATTAATCCTTCTTTCACTGGAAACAGTTTCTCCAGATTTTCTTTTATCAAGTTCCTTCTGTTAAATCTTGCCATAAATTAAATCTCTGCACTAGAAAAAAAGCAGGACCAGTTTCTCTAGTATTTTCCACATTACTGAAAACTTTAGCCTTGGCACCATTCTAATAAATCTCCCCTCTACCTGCTGTTGGTCACAATGACATTACTGAAGTGTGGTACCAAGATGCTCCATCTAAGGCCAAATCAAAGATTTAGAAAGTTTCAGCATCTTTTTCTTGTTTTTCTAATCAAAACCAGAATTTGCAAAGACAAGATCCCATATGCCTTCTGAAATTCTTTCAAAGACTTATGCACATACTACCAGATCTCTTTATTCCTGAGCCCCCATTAAAATTGTTTCATCATTCCAATATTCAAAAAGTCTGTTCATTACCTTGGAGTCACATTGGATCTAAAGCCAAGCTTCAGACATCATATTCACATGATCACTAAAACCACCTTTCATCACCTCTATTACATTGTTCAACTTCACATTACCTCAGCTCATCTGTTGCTGAAACCATCATTAATGCCCTTATTTGTTTTTGACATGATTATTCAATTGGATTCCTGGATGGTTTCCCACACACTGTCCTATGTAAACTATTAACATGACATGAACCACTTTGGAATGTTTGTCTGTGTTAAAAGTACTTTATGAATTTAACGCAATTTTCATTCATCCTGTTCCTTGTCTGTTTCCCTTTCTTCCAGGTCTAAGAAAATCCTGGTCCCATTATGGAGAAGTCAAATATCACTCTTTCAATTTCCTTAGCTCGACTTAGGGATGGTGACAATGTTGTGCATTCTCTGTGCACTGACTTCCGCATCTCTCCTCACAGATATCAAGGGAAACTGTGGGAGATATTTGCTCTAAGACACTTTCAAATCCTGAAGCTCAACTCCACATGGACGTATGGTCAACCAAAACTATTCACAAGGTTGAAGAATGAAATGGATGTGGATTGGAGATTTATGTAAGCTGTGTGTGAAAGAGGAAAGAATTTTCATGACAGAACAAACAGTGGAGAGCCAAACAGGGGTTGGAATATCTTTTACAAAAAGCTCAGAATTGGCACGGAGTGGGAAATAAATATTTGTTTGTTTAAAGAAAGTAATTAAAACTTAATTCTATGTTAGTTTGTATATTGGTATATTCAGTCCTTTAAGCGGCTGGAATTGTTGTTGTAAGTCAGTAAAAGGAGCCACAATTAGAACGTAGGGTTTTTTTCACTGTCTCGCTGATCTTTCCTGTGTAACTTTTCATGCAGAAGTAGTGGCTTGGTTGTGATCCGCAACAGCAAATGCTCTGTTTAAATTCTGCTCACACAACTGACTTTGAACAACACATTTTGGAACTTAACTGGTGTCCAGTCAATGAATGGAATGTATGTAATAAAAGTCAGAAGGATAACAATTTTTTGTGAAAGGAACAAAATAAAACACTTTCTTAGTCAGACCATATGATTAAAACTTGGAAGTTGTGAATTGTATGTATATAACTATAGCCTCTGTTTACTTTGAAGTCTTGAAAAGTGTCCTGGTGTTTGAATCCACAAAGAGCAGTATGATACACCAACTTAAATCACACACAGCAAGCCATGAGCTGCTAAGTATACAGGGTAGCAAGGGATGCTGTCTGTATTGTTTAGTTTAATTCTAGAAATGTCAGGGGGAGATAGAAAAATAATACATTTTCCCATTTTCAAATGGACTTGTCCAAAATGTTTTACTTGGTGAGTCAAAACAGATGGAAAATTTAATACTGAAATGGAAAGAGGACTGTTTTAAAACTAAGGACTGTGGAAGGTATTGCCTCAGTTTTAAAAAGCAAGTTATGGAAACTCATTGTAATTTGTGCTTACACTGCTGCTTTGTTCAAGCAGTGGGGGAAGCTGTAGATATCAGGAGGTGAGATTTGGCAAGCAACACGTTGCTGATTGTTTTGTGGAATTTAATCAGATGTGGGTGCTAAAGGCCAACACCCTGACAACAATTATCTGAATGGCTCCTCGGTAGCTGAACAGCTTATGGGTGTGCACAATACTTTGGACTGCTGAAAGATGATACATCTTCCTTTCCAGTAAAATACCTTGAGCCTGAAGAAAGCCAGTTTACTTTCTCCCACAATTTATTGCTTTTAAGCATTGAGTGAGAGCCTTTAAAATATGTCAACCCATTGCTCTGTGCTCCCTATGAAGAAACAGAAGAATCTGAAGAAAAAGATTAAGGAAACAAACATAAAGACTGGTGCTATTGAACTGTTTCTGCAGTGTTTCTTTTCTCTCCACACATAACATCATTTTTTTTTGTCTGTCTGTGTCACAAAATACATTCAAGGTAATTCATCCTCAGTAATTGCTTTTGGGGTCTGTTAGCACAGTTGGCTGGATGGCTGGTGTACAAATGCAAAATGATACCAACGACATGGGTTCAATTCCTGCATTGGCTGAGGTTACCATGTACGATCCTCTTTCCCAACCTCTTCCCTCACCTGAGGTTTAGTGATACTCAGGTTAAAGCACCATCAGTTGTCTCTCCCTGATGGAAGAGCAGCCCTATTGTCTGGTAGGACTATGGTAACTTTACCTTTAAATGGGTCAGGTGGAGAGTATATCTCACTTCCATTGTGCAAAGTCCAATTAGAGTGTGGCTGATTGGCTCAACTAGCAGCAGTCAGGGAATTAAGAAATTACCCTTGAATGGGTATATAGGGATTGTAAATATACAGGGATTGATGGGACATGATGACCTAGTGGTATTATTGCTGGACTGTTAATCCAGAGACCCAGATAATGTTCTGGGGACCCGTGTTTGAATCCCGCCATGGCAGATGGTGGAATTTGAATTCAATATATATCTGGAATTAAGAATCTAATGATGACTGTGAATCGATTGTTCGAAAAAACCCATCTGGTTCACTAATGTAATTTAGGGAAGGAAATCACCATTCTGACCTGGTCTGACCTACATGTGACCTTTAGGGAAGGAAACTGCCATCCTTACCTGGTCTGGCCTACATGTGACTCCAGATCCACAGCTATGTGGTTGACGCTTACCTGTTCTCTGGGCAATTAGGGATGGGCAATAAATGCTGCCCAGCCAGCTACACCCTCATCCTGTGAATGAATAGAGGAAAAATAAAATCATCCTGTTGCTGTTTCTTTATTTTCCCTTGAATGAAATGTTAAACTCTATGTGTCCCCTCCGTTGGATCTATTGCTATATTTTGAAGAAATGCAAGAGAATTCTCCTAAGTATCCTGGCCCAGCAGATTACCTCGTTATCATTATATTACTATTTGTGAGATGTGGATGTGTTCAAATTGGCTGCCATGTTTCCTACATTACAGTAATTACTACATTTCAAAGAAAAGGTTCTTTGTTGGCTGCAAAGCACATTGGTATATCCTACCGTCAAGAAAATTGTTGTATAAATGCAAGTTACTTCTTTTCTTTTACAAGAACTAAGAGGTATTGGGTCAAAAAAATCCCACAGGAGTTACTCCAGAATTAAAACATCTTTGTTCCTGGAAGCAAATGGAGGGTTTGAGTTGTAAGGACAGGCTGGATGGGCTGGGATTTTTTTTGACTGAAGCATAGGAGGTTGAGAGGTGAATTTATAGAGGTTTATAAAATCATGAGGGGTATAGATAAGGTGAATGGTAGGTTTCTTTTCCCTAGGGTGGGAGATTTCAAGCACAGGGTGAGAGGTGAGAGGAGAAAGATTTAAAAAAGACATGAGGGGCAATTTTTTTACACAGACTGTGGTTCATGTATGGAATGAACTTCCAGGGGAAGTGGTGGATGCTGGTACAGTTACAACATTTAAAAGACTTTTGCATAAGTAAATGAATAAGAAAAGTTTGGAGGGAAACGGGACAAGTGCAGGCAGGTGGGACTAGTTTAGTCTGGGACTACGGTTGGCGCAGACTGGTTGGACCGAAGGGTCTGTTTCTGTGCTGTTTGACTCTATGATTGATTTGTGGATTAGAGCTTTGTGATGTATGGAGGGGAAGAGGGGGAGTATTGGACCTAAGGAGCTTTCAACATTTGCAGGAAACCTGGGGATTGCAAGAATCAAAATTACACGTGAACAGTTGGACTTTGCATTGTTACTAGTAAGAAAGCAAGCCAATTTTTGTTACCTATAATTTCCATAACTTGAAGTTTGGATTTTTCTTTTACAATTCACATATTCCTTAGAAAGTACACACCTTAGCCAATAACTGAAATTAATTCCAGAGTCCTTTATTGCGACCTGTATGAAGATTTTAAAACAAGAAATCAGGTTCTAGTCGTAGGAAGAATATAGTTGATGTGTTGGCATCTCCCAGAAGCAAGAATTAACTGCTTGAGGATGGTCGGTGTTTGATGTTAGTGAGCAATATAAGTTGATGATTTGATGCGTCCATTTAATGCGAAGAATGAAATGTTGAAAATAAAAGTGGGTGGGCACAACGGAAAGATAAAAGAAGGAAAAACAAACTCGGGAACAAAAGAAAATATTATATTGAGAAAACATCAAGCACAATTTACTGTAATGGATTAATCTGTGTTGGTTGGCTGCAAACCAGCGGTAGTGTGAAAAGCTTGTACAAACCAGTTGGGCAGAAGTGATTGTGAATTTGGCAAAAGGAAGAAAGCGTGCAACCTATGATTTGGAACAAATCTTTGGTAAAGCAAAGGAAGATTGTGAGAACGTCACCGGCTGATAAAGTCTGTTTGATCTTTGCCACAGCTGGTGTCCTGGGGGGAGATTACAGCCAGGTGGCTGGGGTTAAGCCAAGTTTCAGACCATAATGTGCTGATTGTGAAGAACTGAAGTTGGCTTATGAAGATAATTAGATCGAAATGTATGGTCAGCATTATTTCCCAGTAGCCTGACCTGTGGAATAGTTTAACCCTCTAGTCCAAAACATGCTATTTGATGCAATAAAGAAATGAGTGTTACAACTGAAGAGTACTTGTGTATGCCCTGCATGTCTGTTTGTCCAAAGTCTCAAACAAAGGCTTTCTGACTGAACTAATTAAGAACAGTAGAAATTCTGAGCCAAATTGTTGTCTCAGATTAGGGAGCCTTCTTGATGTTGCTCACGAGTTCAGAAAGTGCCTCTGATGTTCTACTTTTTGTCATGGAGTGGAATGGTTGGGGTGCAATAATTCTGGGCGACAAGCGGGGAGCAAGACTTCTATCCCAAGAAACAGTTCAGAGAGGCTGTGGAACAAAAGGAAGCATTGAGAAAATGCCATCTGATGAATTTTGTTTGATCTTTGTTATAGCCGGACTCTCAAAGCTGACTACAACCAGACGACTGTGGTGATCTAGAGTTTCACATGGTAATGCACTGATTGTGAAACTGAGTTTTTACCTTGGCTTAGGAAGATTAATAGATGGAAAATGTTGTTTCCCAATAGGCTCTCATAAAGTGGTCTCTGGTTTAGCGACATGGTGTCAGTGCCACACACGAACACCAGGAGTGGGGTTTGTTGGGTAGGGGTTGTAGTTTACCTCTCTGTGGTTCAAGGGTATTTTAACTAAAGGTGTATCAGTGGAACTCAGTGCCATGAGTTGCATGATCTGCAGTGTGTGGGAAGTCTTAGACACTTGTGGCAGTCTGGATGACCACATCTGCAGGGAGTACCACATGTTTGTCCAGCTTGAGTGATGCTTAATGAAGTGCAGACAGAGGAAGAAGAGATGATCAATAGTCAGAAGACGGGATGCAGGCAGTTAGTCCAGAAATCCCCAGAGTGCATCTCACTTAAGGACAGTTTTTCTGTGTTGGAGCATAGCGAGAGGGATCGTTCTTCTGGGCAGTGTAGCCAGATCACAGCTGTTCAAGGGAGAGCAGAAAGAGAGGAAGAGAAATAGTGGTAAGAGACTCAATATGGAGGAGTTAAGACAGCACAGGTGGGTGTACAAGAATAGTCAGGAAAGACTTGTGAGGGGGAGATAAAATCTAAAAGTTTAATTGAATTTTTCAAGAAGGTGGCTGGGTGTGTATAATTTATAAGGATTTCTGTAAGGCTTTTGACAAGGTCTTGCATGGGAGACTGGTCAAGAAAGTACAGATCTTTGGTATTTTGGGCAGTTTGAAAATATGGATCCAAAATTGGCTTAGTGGCAAGAGGCAGAGGGTGATACTCAAAGGTTGATTTTGGCACTGTTGCAAGGTTTGTTGCTGGTGTGACTGGGACGGGAATACTAGCTGATTATTCCCTCCTCTAAATCAGCTGAAACTTGTATAATTCTACTTGAGAGTGGTTAAGAGACAGTGTAGGTTGAATTATGCTTCATTATTGCTTTGCTTGTAGGTGTGAACAATGTGATGGTAAGACAAAAATAAAACAGAAAAGCCAA